TTTTTTATCATTATCATTTTTTAAGTTTTTTACTTTTTTGGAATGACAACATAGAGTTTTAATTTCATATTCCAAAGCAGAATATTTTTCTAAGTATTTTGATTCATAAAAATCGAATTTAGGACGAGTAGTTTATGAGTTATAAGTATTTAAAGTTTAGACAAGCGGAGTAGTGGACAGACATTTTGCGGGGTAATCCCGTACCAATCCACTCTAGATAGATTAATATTATTATATCCTGCACCTACGATTATTAGCAATAGTTTTTGGATCTTATTCTACACTGTGTTAAAAAAATCATAATAACACATGGCGACTATGAGTGATGACGAATCAAGTGAAGTCCGAATGGTCATATGGCGTTATACTGCAGTGTATATAATAATATACACGATASTATAAATTCTACGATACATAATATTATCATTGTTATTATTATTATTATTATTATTATTATTATTATAGTTTGTATGTGTGAGTAAAATACAAAACATCTGGCAATAAAGAATAATATCCATTTTGCTGAATTCCTCTGGAAGAAAAATAATGGCGAATGTTTTAAAAACAACGAAAACGTTGATTCTGATGATTTTATATTTAACCCAACACCGCAGCATTTGCGCACYGATATTCCAGATGTCTTGATATTATCGGAATCTATTGGTACTCACGTTACGTATAGGATATCCATAGAGTTGTTGAGTATTTCTTGAGAAAAAAAAAACCATTGAGAAATAAAAACTTTATTGAATTACATAATCCATAGAACTTAGTCTTTTGGGCGAGTACCACTGGACTATCGCGTGGTTATACTGGCTATACGATACAAATAAAAATTAAAATAGGTACCACATACCAGGTTACTATACCGGATTATAGGCTTCTGTACAGTGTCAAGTTGTTCGATCTTCGCACTGGTGGGTCTTTTTTTGCTGGACACGTTTTGTGATTATTAATTATGTTAAATCAGTGATTGAGTACACGACGTGTACCGGAATAATACCTCTACGTTTATTGTTTTCTCTTGAATGAGGACAATATCACTATATGAGAATCACGTAAGCGCTTATTCGTCTAAATATCATTAACATAATTTACTCGCACCGTTCGGATTAAAGCGAACGTGTAATCCCCCCCAAAAAAACGCTCACGAGCACAAAGTTATCGTTTCTTAGAATTTCGTCGTCGTTATTTAATTCAACCACGCGATAATAATACACTGCGTCATTATTGTTTTTTGAACAATACCATTATTATGATTGACGTAAAGTGAGGAATCAAAAAAAATATAGCTACTATATAAGTACGGTAAGTACTTATTCACCATCATATTATATTATGTTTACTTCCCAATATTTTATACACATTATCTAATGGGTTTTTATTTCAATCGTCTCGGAATTATATTTTGCAAGAGTTGTATGCTTGTAGGTAATCCTAAGTCCCCGGTGACCAACTTCTTTATTTCATTGAACTTGTCCCAACTGCTACGAACCTGTTAAAAAAAATTGAAAATTAACTTCATAAGAAATACACGATTTTGTAAGGTATCCTTTTAAATGTATTAGTATAATGTTATAATACAATTAAACTGATTATCTAATTTTTATTCCACTCAATCTATGCTGCCACTGACACATTTATGATATAATTTTTCGCATTAATTTATTTATATCACACGACATGTACATATGTCGGGTTGTAAAAATAATTAAAAATATTAACGTCAATAATATTATGTTTTCGGGATGGATACAAGATTTTTGTTCCAACTAATTTTTCGTATAGTTTTCTACGTCACGGTTACTTACTAACAAAAACATGTTTATGATTCATAGATTTTCCTTGAAGACGAAAATTACCGAGTAGCGTTCAATAGTTATTTAACTAACATATTTTAATAATAACTGTTCATGATTGTCAATAACTTTTCAATAAAATCATATSATTTGTAACATCTACAATGATTAAATATCTTCATTCAATGCATTCTATACCATAATTTATTTTATATTAATATGATTTTTRATTCGGTTTACTTAAGAAAAACATTTTTCTGTAAGTGACATTTATTTATACAATTTTTATTTGGAAAGTGATAAAGTTCATGAAATTCGATCAAATTGACTCATTTTGATTTTTTTATAAATATATAATATTATTTTTATAATAATATATACATATATGTATATATAAAAAGTAACATAACGTTTAACAATTATTGATACAAATTATTTCATTTATTCTCCTAAAATAAATTACTTACTAAAAAAAATCCATTTATCATAATTCATATGTAATAAGTTATTACCTATAGAAAGTACATTTTGCACAATTTATTAGAATTTTAATCCATTTATAGAGTAAGCACAAATTAATGTAAATGAGTAAGTGGGATTCTGAAACACTAAAATACAAATATGTCTGGAGCAATCACATCAAATTCCTAAATAGTGTACAAATTATAACACTATATTATAAACTATTGATATTATTCCTATTTGGAAAATGTATGAACCAACAGTAATTATGATAACGAAAACCTTACGAAAAATCGGTCAGAAACATTTTATCGTGTATCGACTATCCAGCCCAAAACCATATTTATRTTTAAAAAAAGTAATACCTAAAAATTATAATAAAAGTTTAAAGTATTATATTTATTAATATGTCGTTCTAACGTAAGTAACGATTATCTGCACGGCGGTGGCTGATACAATAATACGATTTTATTCGAAAAAATTAGTAATTATCTACTTTTTTTTCATTCTCCCGTAGATATTTTATGCCATCCGTATACTAGATCCACGTCACTCTTGGATGACATGTCACTCCTGTTGAGAACCGCGAGTCCTAAA